CGACCTTCATTCATTGTCGTTTGCCTAAACTACACTAATGAGGTCCTCAGCTTCGATTTGAAGGAAGGCAAATCTAGCCCAAATGTTGCAAGTCATTCTAGGACTATCCTTCACGGTGTCGATATTTGCAGTTTACCGCCATGCTACACCGTTCGTACTCTTGCTGTGTTATGTGGTTTGTCTGTCTAATTGTATTCACGACGAATGCAGCAATGGTTTGCTAAAAAATGTATGACTGGTACATTTAAAATAAAACGTAAATTGTTCTCGCTAAAACATTTAGTGTCCGATTCACACTCGAAGTGAAAAAGTTTTGTTGAAACATAAACGGGTTTCAGAAGGAATAATGCTGCATTGGTCCCAAAATTGTCGTGATGTACAGGGTAAAAGAAGTGAAAATAATGAGAAATCAGGGGGAGAACAAATCAATATAAACATAAAACGTTCACTCCGATGCTGCCTACAATTTAAAAGACAATGGGGATGTCATCGGCAGTTTCTACAGACAGATGCAGTCTGCCAGAGGCAGAGGAGGGGCTTATTGGTGTCCAGAGGATTATGAGCTGTTTTACAGCTCCCTATCTTCTCCTCGAAGGAACAGCGACGATTTCAAGCGGTTCTTTTTCCCTCAGCTCGGTAAATCTTCTGCAATTTCTCGTACACAACCCCCACATGGGGTCTTTTGGTGGTATCCGAAGTCCAGCAGTACTTCATCAACTCCCAACAGGGTCCAGTAAAACATTGCAGTTTTTCCGGCCGTAGACCTGAGCGCAGAACAAAGAATACGACAAAATGTTTAGGACCTGAAGATATCTGACATCTTTTATATGCCACTTTAATGTATCTGTACTCGGTAAAGTCAACTTTCTGGCATAATTTTGACGAATCTTCCAGAGGGGTTGAATTTATTAAAAGAGATATACTTATCGCGAGTTCTTGCACGTGCGTATCAGTGGCAGTCTGTTTCCCGACTATACAAACAGGTCAATAATATTCAAGGCTGACTCAGGCGTGCTCTTGTCTGAGGTGATTAGAAGAATGCACTCTTTCGCTTGATGCTCCGATTTCACGGTTTTCGTCTGGCTACCAATTTCTTTTAACCATTTTTCCAATAATTCCGTGTAGAAAAAAATAAACTGTTAACTAGCAGTTAACTCTCCTTCCGATTCGGGACTGAACTCGAAAGTCCTATTGGCTAGTGCTTTCCCAGACCGTAAGCTGCTACGAAAAAGCCATTTTCACAGGAATAACGGTATTTCTAGGTGATAAATGGACTCTGATTGGAACGCCTGTAGTGCAGTTCGGTGTTGGGCCGATGCTGGCAAAGAAGCCGGGAATATAGAAGATGATATGACTGGCTGATAACGGCTACTAAGCCGACAATGGTTAGTCAATTCTACCTTGTCTTAGCTGGTAATTTATTTAGGAGGTTAGGCAGATTTGCTTAATGTAAGTTGAACTTATTGTGAAAAAAACATTCGGCGGGATTTTTTCACAATTGGGTCAACTTAAATTAAGCAAATCTCCCAAAACTCGTAAATAATAAGTCAGCCTAATAGTAATTCAGGTGGATTCTAGATGATTGCTTAGGAAATCCTGCTTGGACAGTCAGCTTGCTGTTCCGTATTGGTGGATTCCCTACGAGCGGTAAAGTTGGGCGAGTAAAATTGATCCAAGTGTGACTAAACTCACGGTGTGAAGTGTGGCATTTGTAGCTCAACTGGGAGAGCATTGGCTTCGTGTAAGGGCCTTATCTACTATGCAGGTTCAAATCTCACCGAATGCCGCGAGTTTTTTTTTTCACAATTAGGTCAATTTAAATTAGCTGGTAATGTTCATTAGATAGGAATAACCTTCCCGGCGTCCCTGTCTTTTTCAGTAAACACTTCTTATTTCTAAGGAGTACTCATGTTCGCTCTTCTATCAAAATAGAGCAATGCGCGCCACTCTCGTGTGAACGCTATTAGTAGTCTGAATTTTGTCTTAAAATACCACCGTCGTTAGAATCGTCGTTATCAGCAGGCAAATTCATAAGAGAATCGTCTCTTACCTAGAAATATACTAAACTGAACTTTTCTAGTTCAAGTTATTGTTGTTAAAACTAATTAAGTACATCCCTTTGACTCCAAGATGACAATAATTAAACGGTTACGAGGACGGTTTGCCTTCTATATCAACGACTCGAGATAAAGGCACATCTCTAGGTTTTCAGCCAAATGCAAATGTTTCAAAAGACAAGGTTCGGTTTCTCATTTTCGAATGCGGTTTATGCTTAACACGAGGAAATTCATTTTTTTTAGTGGAACTCCTGTGATATCGCAATCTCACGCAGACATTCGACGTCGCGATTTTCATTACGCGCAAAAGTCAGTAATTCCACATGGCAGAGGTCACCAGTGGCGCGGACACATGAACATCTCGCCTTTATTAGATATTCTGCCGAGTATGGATATCTCTCAGGTGGGTTCGAGGACTAAGAATGCTTCAACTGGTTGGGGAGGGACTCAGCGCTCACGATACTTGACATAAATATCTTGAGGCTCAGGCTCGAGCCCTGTAAACAGCCGCACGCCTAACGATTTCGAATGTACCGGATCGCAACCGACGATACAACGAACCCTGACTCGATGATTTGAGTGTTGTACCACCAGTGAACAAGTCGCGAGTTTGACTGTCGGAGATTGAAAAATACCCAGGGGTGGGCATGACTGGCGGATGGCGCCTAATAAGTCAGAAATAGTCATTCCAGTCTCACTTGTCCTTGTCGGTATTGTCATTCTGCCAATATTTACTTTACCTTTACTTGAATGACGGTGACGCTAATACGTGTCGACAGTTTGATGGTTAAACCTACCTTTCTTCACGCACGACCATAATTCATTCTTTTCCGAGAACCTTTCATAGTTGATGGGAAGGTGTACCCGGCCAGCACAAATGTACCAGAAAAGAACTCCAAACGCGTACACATCGACCGAACTGGAGTATTTATGGTCGAAGATCTCCGGAGCCATGTGCATCGGTGTGCCTACAAAGGTTGGAGGTAAATGTCATTATTCGCAAAGTAAATTATGCCTTAGCCTGTGAATAATAATTTAAAAATCAAACTGTGTCTTCCCTTCGTGATAAGTCGTTTCTCTAAAGCAATATACATTTCATGGATGCGGGATGAGTGGCCTGTGCGTTAAAAAGGGTATCATGTAAAGTTCGCGAACATTCATCTGCTAGGTCACAAACCGCACACGTTTCTGCAGTTATAATAATTTTTACTACTGTCTTGTTTAGTCTTCAAATACATTTTTACGCAAATAATAGAGTATAACTGCGTGTTTACGCAAACTACGCAGTTATACCATGATAGCTGGTGGATTTCAGCTCAACTATTCATATCAATTTTCGGACCGATCCTGAAAATGCCTGTTTCGTAGGATTTAGTCCACGTTCCAGCACTAGTTTCTTCTAAAATTAAACAAAACAGGACGAAACTTGATAAAATGTACCAGGAAAATTCATGGGGCACGCTGGGGAACCACTAGTGAGCCGAACAGCTTGCAGCCATGTCAGGCGACAGCACGATATCGGGAAACACATACCACGGCTTTTAGTTGGTACCGGTGCTATTAGTAGAGTAAATGGTAACGTATCTCTATTAATTGTTTTATCCTGTCACCAGGAAACCTTCTAGCTTGATTCACCCAAGTAGTTCGGTTACCTGACGTTCGCTATTATAGATTTTTTATCTTGATAGTTGTTTATTTATTTAGGATTTCCTTTGATAGCTCGCGCGACCGTAGGGGGGTGAGATGGAAAACGTTTAGCTCCTACATCTCCGCTTTATGAACAACACAAAGGAAAAATTTTAAAGTCCCCTTGTTATAAAAGTGCACTGTTTTTCGCAGTGCAGTTTACCGTAAAATACAAGACACACAGTTGTGATCTACGTAGACCGTAGTAGGATATCAGAAAACTGGTAAAAAATCGGGAGGGAGACGGTTCTATCTAGCTCGACGAGAGGAGTTTTCTCTGACTACGGCATCGTCCTTTCATCCTGCAAACCACAGGAAACAAAGTATCCGTCTCTTATTAGCCTGCAAAGTGACCTAAAAGAAGTGGGCGAGAGGAAGGCCAATTTAAAAGTCGCATGTCGACACGAGGGCGTGCTATTTGCGAGTTTCGATTAAAACAATCAATTACTTTGCATACGCAAACATTGAACTAGTTGAAGCGTCAGGATATAGCCTTTCCCACTTTACTTTCGTTTGCTTGTATAAAATAACCCTGGATTTTTTACGTTAGTTTAAAAGGCACACACATCGACACAAAAAATATTAAGCGAACGCGTTAACTTGTTTTTAGTGGTCGCTTTAAATAAGCCGGCATTGTTATTCTGTCCATTCAAATGTTAATCTTCTTGTACGTACATCGGCTGACGCGTTTTTTCTCGTAAAATACCATTTTTACCCTCTTTATTTATCTGAAAAGCAATAATTTGGTCATAATTGCACGATGCTATCATCGCTGTGGAGGAAGAAAGCCTTGCGCAACATTTGCTACAGTTTTATTTTTTCGTTCATTGTTAGGACGGCCTAGCACACGAGTTATCACTCCCGCCGTCCTGAGGACAAGAGAACAAACTAAGCAGGCCGGGACAAGAATGCAACCTTCAAAGGGCTGACACGCGAGGACGGAAAGAGAGCCGCCGACAGGATTCTGAAGTCCCGCCTTGCAAGGAGTCATGCGCTCGCGTGACACCACCGAGCTGTCACAATGACGTTGCCACACGATGGCTGGTCGCAATGGGCCACTTACAGAGGGACCAGTGGGGAACAAAGGCTGTTGGTCCTTAAACAGCGAGGCTGCGAACAGAGGGGCACTCTGCTGCTGGGGACACGAGACTCTGCTGCGTAAGACACGGGACTCTGTTTGCCGAGACCGACGACAGAACACACGCTGTTGACGGACACAGGACAAGCTGCCGGACACACAGAAGATAAAGCTGATGTACAAGCAGACCTAGTGACAGTAATCCATTATTTGCTATCCTGTTCTACCTTCCTTTCCTAACACGAAACTTGGGTGTATAACCTTGTCGACGCAGGCACACCCAATGTTATAACAGTTATCATGTACTGTTTGCGATCTTCCTATTCTACCTCTTTTACGTATTCATTTATATTCACGGCAAATGGCGGTCATTTTTACTGATGATATTGAAACGATACTTTCAAACTATCAGTGTATCGCTCTCTCTCTCTTTTTGTCGATGGCGATCAAAACTTTTTCATATATCGACACTACAGAGTTCAACCTCACACGTTTGCTGGTACTTCTTTTTTTTCAGCTGAGGGAAGGATAGCATTTTAAATATTTATAAATTATTAGCACGTGACTGGCGATAGTCACGATGTTAGAGAATTATGCTGCTTGAGAAAAAATGACTACCACTCAACACCTAGGACAAGTGATGCAGCGTGATACTTCCACTAGTAGTACTTGGAAGGCTGTGAATTTATCCCTAAAAATGATACGCTAAAAGTATTTTCCTTGTGAAGGGTATCCACCGTGCTAATTTTATGAGAGGCAACCACAATCAAACGGTCTTCACCCGACCGTGAACTTTCATCAGAGTTGTAATATATATTTTCATACAACATAATCTCCATATATTTCGGGGATGTCAGGACGCTGGAGTTTGAATAAGCTGCCTGCCGGCTTCCATTAAAAGCGCGCCCTATAAAAAGGGCTACTTGAGAAGTATGCATTTTCCATTGATTTTCAATAGACTTGAGGTTCAAATAAATTTTATAGAAAACATACAAATGGATATTTTCAGTACTCCTTTGGTAGTAAATGACGTTTTCTTGAAATATTATAATTGAAGAGAGGATGTCTTTTAGATTTAACAGGCTTTCTACATTCCTGGATAATTTTGAACCCAACCTGTTTTTATACTCGCATTTCGGGTTTTTAACCTTCAAGCCGTATCGCTTTCGGCCAGGAAAAATCTTAACACAGAAGATGCTGCAAGCCCTCCAGTTACCCTGGCCTCAGCCAACCTCACACGTTGTTTTTGCATCTTCCCAGGTCGTATTACAACGACAAAAAATAAGTACTTCTCATTGATACTCTCCCTCTGCCTCTACCCGAAAAACTAAAGCGCAATTTTACCCTTTGATTTGATCTGCCTAGATATATTCAGCACTCTCCGGCAAGGCAATTGCCCAGTGGTTGCTTCTCATACTTCGTTGACCTACTGTGATGCGTTATAGTGCGCAAGCTACTTGATGAACAATGGAGAATAAGCGGTTACGCCCCTGACGGCTTCAATGTTTACATTGATGTCATTGCGGGACAATCTTTCTCTCTCCCCCTCTCTTTCTTTCTCCCTCCCTCTCTCTCCCTGTGCTGCGATTTTAGTGGCAGCAGTCACGTCGACACTGCTCTCATAGTATGAACTAACTGCATATCAGAAAATAAAACGAGGAAAATTTCTTGACTCACCAAGAACGCTGCCACTGATCATGGGCAGGGGTTTGCAGAAACCCATGTCAGTCAGCTTGGCTCGGTTTTTGACATCCAGCAGGACGTTGCGTGGTTTTATGTCCCGGTGCACGAGACCCTGTGAGTGCAGGAAGCGAATACCCTCCAGCACGTCCAGCGCCACCCGCAGGCGTGGAAGCCAGTCGAGACCAGCT